CGCGCTTCGGCTCGAGCTTCGCCTCACCTCGTTCTAACCCCCTTCCGTCCCCGCTCCTCTCCGATTGCGAGTCCATAAATCTCAATCCGTAAACTCAAACACCGGCGGAATTGCAAATCGTAAGTAACAAACTGCGGCGCAAAGACTCGCGGCATTACAACGAGCGACGGGCGGACGGATAGTCCTCCCCCGCTCTTTGAAGCGAAGCGAACGAGAGATCGGTAAGGCATCTCGTACCGTACCACCGTCATCCCCCCGCACTGCCACTGCCACGTCGCGCCTTTGTCAATATTAGGTTTCCCCGTGATTACGTAATAAAGTAAACGTCGTTTTAACCCCTTTAGTCGGCGCGCTATCGACCGCCGTTCGAATTAGTTCGGTGCAAGTCATGTAAATTAGTCCCGAGTCGTAACTCAGGGGGTGGAAATTGGGGAAAGCAGTGGCGGCAGCGGTGGTGGCGGCGGTGGCGGCGGCAGTGGCGGCAGCGACGGCAATGTCGGGGGCAAGACGGCCTTATTGCCGGTGGCGACGGGTTAGAATGCCTGAAATATTACTATGCCAATCGAGTTGCCTAGGCGCGATGGCGGCGACGGTCACGGTACGATTAAATGAGTTTCTTTCTCCCGGAGTAAAGGCGTCCCCAAGGTAACAGGCTGACCAAACTGCACAGACGATCTCCACATGATTCCCAACTGAATTATTCACTCCAGCGATGCCTCACGATTCATCAAACGCTAATTTTGTACGAGCCAACAATGTGTGGTCTATAAATGTTTGTTTAATTAGAATTCTAGAATGCTCTATTTATTTGGTTTAATCTTGTTTTAAAGTTAAGGAAAAAGACAAATACGATATTTATGTGCTGAATATAAGCTTGTTTTATTTTTGCTTCATTTATGATAAAAATTATCATTCAATTGAATCAAAAAGTTGAGAAACCCTACTTATTCGATAAGCTAGACTCTTCAGGATGGAAAGAGGTATTGTTGTATGAGGTTTCTATTTGAACTGGAATATTTGTACGCTTTACTGACTCCACGCAAGCTATCGAAGCTTGTGGTGTTTCTATCGACAACGCTGAGTCTACATAAGTATATGATAACCCATGTAACTCAATTTCATGAAAAATGGGATATATCCCGCTTCTAATATTTTTCAAATTCAATTCGATCCGTTGTTACGTATTATAATAGTATGTGAAACATTATTTTGTACAAAAAGAAGGAAATTACTGAAATATTTAAAAATTAGTTAAGTATCTAAAAATAATTTTGTTGGATTATCAAAATGATGTAGAACGCTCAAGCATAATGAGCAATGTTGCAAAAAATTTTAACGTTCTAGCAATCAGCTTGAGTGTCCTATATAATTATTTTGATGGTCTAACGAATTATTTTCAACTCTGTGTATGTATAGTTATATTTTTTTAATGTTTTAGCAAAACACTATAATGTTTCTTTCAAATTTTTTTTTCATATCTATAACTTTGTATTTCTGTATATTCACAAATATTGAATGTACTGAGAAATTATAGTAAATCTTGAAAAGCGCGATAAGAAATTGCTTTTCCCAAAATAGCAGTAAAATTCTCATTTTATCCCAGACCGCTCGCGCTTTATTCGTCAATAAATTTATGATAAAGCTGAAATTACGAGCGATTGAGGTATATGGAGCGTATGCATGCGGCATAATTCTGTAATCGATCTTGAATTATTGAGTGGAAGTAAAACTGTAGGGCAGAATAATATCGCGGCGAGGATTTTACCGCGGACAGCAAGATAGAAATCGGCTTTAATTAATTTCATTATGCGGCTCATCGCCGGATGGCCGGAACCTACTGGAATGAGGGAGAAAAGGTGGTAGTCTGGTGGAGCAAAAATGCAACACCACTTTTTAATTAATAAATGTCATTTATGAGGCGGATACTCGTCTGTTACTCCGATTGATGCTATTCAAGACTGACAAGTTTTCGTCCTAACACCCCGCTCTGTGTTCGACGTCACGTCGGAATACGCCGTCCTTGCAAATAATTACCGCGATCCGTAAATGGACGTGCGCAAATTACTTTAAAAGAACGACGAAGATAGATCGTTTCCGTACAAATATTTTTGGCCCATACAACTTGTGACGCTTATCGCCGTTCATATCACGCCGTAAATCAAGGAACTTCCATAATGTACGATCCTATAAATACAATAACCAAAACCTCCGATGGCAGCAACATTTACCATTACCGATTTGCGCGGTGCTTCCAGTATCCGCAAAACCATCGTTCGCGGTCATTTTGCGCCGTTATCGACAATCGCCTTACTCGCGCCTCTATAAATTCTCAGTCACATCGCGTGCAACGTACAGGTATAGCCGAGGGCAACGCAACGGATCCGCAATTTTCTCCGGGTTCAACGCACTCCGGATGAAAATCTTTATCCAAGCGGCTACGGGAAAATTCAGAGGACGCGCGAATAATAGCTACACTACGCTTTGCGTCAAGTAGGTATACGAATGTTTGAATTGAACCTCACTGCTCGTTCAACATCGAAGACAGTAATACATGTTCAGTCTATCTCGAAATAACTATTTTTCTTAAATTTAGAAATCGATTTTCGAGATACATTAGTATATTACATTCCTACTCCATTAATATTTTATACTAAAATTATTATAACTGTAGCAAACACGAAAAGAACGATTTTGCTGAAGCATCTGAAAAATTTATAATATTTGGCTACAGATCTAAAAATAATTTTGTTAAATTATTAAAATAATTATGTAGGACGTTCAAATTAATTGTTAGATATCAAAATATTTTTGCAGCATTGCTCATTATACTCAGGTTCTTTACATAATTATCTTAATGATTTACAAAATTATTTTCAGAGAGAGATTCGTGTATCTACTTAAATTTTTAGTTACTTCAGCAAAATTGTTTTTTCCATATGAAAAATGGAATAATTGAAATAATGCTTTTAATTCCAACATCTTTAATAGTATTAATTTTAACTCAGTAAACAAGCTGATGTTGTTTACTGTTATTTTGACGTCAAAACGACGATAAATAATATTAGCTTAGTTATTCGCTAGAAATATCTTAATGATATTAATTCTATTATCATTCTAATACTATTACATTGAAGAGAATACTAATTCCGAAACCGTTTGGTATCGGAAAGTCGATATTTTGATAGTATATATAGCCCGGTGTTCTATATACAACTGGCGACAATTTTCTGAACAACTTCAATTCCTCGTACGCGAGCGAAGTGCACGCCGATGATGTATCGCTTTATAACAAAGAGGATTTATCAACGTCAATTTGGCGTGCAGGAAGGTACGCGTCTTGCGGCCAGCGACCCGCTATAACGAAGAAACGAGCAGCGGTCGAGGGCAGCGGAGCGCTTAATTTTACTCGCGCCGTTATCGCGAGGACGTTAGAACAACGAGTGGGGTTAATTAATTGCGGACCTTTTTTAATTTGTCTTGCTAGACGCCGGGATTACCGCGAAATTTTTAAACCGATACATCCAGTCGAGAAGCGGAAGCGGTAAATTGGAGATACTTTGTTGAAATGCGAAAGGGGACTTGGGAAAAATTTATTTAACTCGGAAAAGTCTGCGATGATAAAGAAATGTGGTGATAAAACGTATACTTTAAAGAAGACTCTTAATTCAGATAAGAAGAAATTTATACGATATATATATTGTCGATTATTTTATTCGTCTTCGTACATTTTTGTACACAACTTACAAGGCGACTTAGGAAGAGTTTACATACAAAAAAAATCTGCGAATCCTCATTGCAAAGTCACCTTGAGAAACACTTGAATCATCTTGAAAAAGAGCGCGCAAGATGGGACGCAAGATTAATTGTCCCCGCTCTAAATTAAGTTATTCACTTTGTTATGGTACCTGAGCTATCGCGCGGCAAGATACATGGCGCGTGATAAAGTAGTAAGAGAGCGGAAGAGAGAGAGAGAGAGAACGGTAGTAGGATTAATGAGGAGAGGGAGAGTTTATGATCCCACGTTTAAAATTCGTCATACCGACTATATGACTACAAAGGGCTGCAGAATCATCTTTTCAATCCGGTATGTAACTTAATCACATGCTCAAATACATACCTACTCAAATTCTAGTTGAATTTATTATTTCTGTTTGTTTTAATCCGAAAGTAGGCGTGTAATTTAGTTTAACATTAATATGATAAACACGTTATTTTGATCGAAATATGTTTAAGCACATACATATACATATGTTTGGTACTAATGAAACAATTCCCTCAGTTAAATAGCATTTCGTTATTTTTAACTTCCATGTATGTGGTAAAATGTAAATCAATCTATTGCTATGATTAAATTGCTAGTTTTAAAGTAAACAATTTGCATATTGAAGTTTGCACTTAGTAAATAGTAATCTAATTTTAAATCAAATGTAATACATTTCTTTAGTTAAATGATGATTTAATTCTATTGTTTTAATCAAATTAACGACATATTGAGTAGGAACAGTGGCGACCTATAAAATGATTAAAAATATCAATATATCCTCTTTTCGGATTAATGTAATAGAAATTATTTTTGTGTAACAAATAATAGTAATTATAAGTAAAATAACACCTATATATATAGGACTCTTCAGTCTCAACAAATTTAAAAAATACATAATAGGATACTTGACAGTCAGCGTGGTATTTGCGCAAAAATGTTATTCAGAATATTTTAATTAGAAATCTTTACAATAAGAAAATATAATAAAAATTAATGACAAACTAAAAACTTAAATAGAAACCGCAATGGAAATAAAAACAATATTAACATGTATGTCTATTAAGTTAAATTAAGGCTATGCTAATAATATTGATGAATTTAAATGAAATGATAATATCTAAAAATTCTTGCCAGTAAATTTTGTGAAACTTATTTTTGTATTTTTAATATTTTTTTGCAAACACTTAAAAAGACAGGAAATCAACGTTATTTAACCAATGAATTCAATAATTTTCAGTCAATCCCTTGGAAGTGAAAATAATTGACGGAAATCGACCGCTGTCAGCGGGCAAGAAGTACGACTTGGTCTGCACAACTTCCGGTTCCAGACCACCAGCTAGTGTCATCTGGCGAAGGAACGGTCAACGCTTAGTGGATTCCAAGGAGACCGTAAGTGTGTTCCTTTATAAAATAATTTGCGTTCTTACGTCAACGTACATTCCACCAAGCCATTCTCGGCAGTGCATAAACTTGAATTTGCTGTCTTGAATAAGAGAGAATCCTTGATTCCTTTATCAAGAATATCACGTTAATGTAAATTCATATGAATATTTAACTCTTTTGAACACATAAATGAAAGGCCATACTATTTCCTTAAAAAAATACACTATCATACTATTTGATTATTTTTTATATAATTTATAATAATACGTTATTTTTCTGGTTATTGTATTTTTAATGTAAACGTAAACAAATATAATAACCGAGATAAACTATCGATATAAATGCCATGTTAAGGTATTTTATCGTTTACGCTCTCTAATACATTAAAAACGCATCTGTCACTGCTAGAAAGTTTTATCCTACGCGTGTCTAAACTTTCGGAATTTTTCTCACATATTTACTGTGTTTTCGCCAAACTGTAGAAGATATCACAAGAGTTTTAGAGAGATATCTTTTTCCTCTATTTTTATTTAATTTATATTTAACTTAAGAAAAGAAACTTATCTATAGTGTGACATATAAATCAGAAAATACAAGAGAAACGTGAATTGTTTATTTTTCAGTTAAAAAATTGATATATTTTTGGTTTTATTGACGATAATTCGCGGATTAATTTCCTCATTATAACGAAAGACGATTAATCTCTCGCTGCAACTCGACTCGTTTGGTTGGCATATGTCGTCTAATTTCGCGGCGAAGCAATTTCCACGTTCAATTTCCGTGGATTAAATGATGCCAAAAAAGACATAGGCCGATTACGTGATTGACTGCCGTTTACAGTGAAGCCTACTGTGTATGTGCAGGGATTATATTTAATTGACAAGAAATAAAACTATTTTCAGTTATAACGTCGAGATATAGTCATATTGAACATCACGTTGAGGTAAAAAGTGCACGCGATATGTCAATTATTTAGTAAGATTAAACGTTAAGAATATTCAAATATAATTTATTTGCTTATATAAACTATTTTTATTTTAGTTAACAACATTCTGAATATACAATACTATTTATACTTTTAGCTGCAAACACAATTATCTGTTCTCAACTGATTTTTCTCGTTTATTAATCTCATATTTTTTGTTTTATTTTATTTATCGATTTCTTTTAGTGAAAACTTCTCGGAAAATTTTTTAATTAAATTAAGTCCTTTAGAATTAATTAAATATAACTTTTCAAACATGAAATTAGGATAGATAACACGACGTTAGTCGATAGAATCTAAAGTTTTTCTTTTTCTCTTTTTATGGGAAGAAAAAATATTAGGACAGCATGTTTGGCAGTGTTATAAAACAATTGTTTATTGAACAGTTTAAACGTTTTGTGCACAAAATATGAAATTCTCTCCATATAAATCTTGCATCGATTTACCTCGGAATTGAAAATAAAATGAAAAAAGCTAGAAACTGTTGTATAACAGTGTTACACAATCGAGTCGTACACTGTGTTCTGATAAAAAAGTGTAACATTTCGTCGTTACGGGATTAATCAACGGCAATGAAGAGGTACGTCGCAAATATCGATAAATCTAATTACGCGCAGTTCGAATAAAGAATATCTCGCCGGGGCGATTACGATGATACTTGATCTATGAGAATGGAATCCTCTTGTGCGCGTGCATTCTCTCTCTCTCTCTCTCTCTCTCTCTCTCCCTTCCGTTCCGATACAATTCATTAATTCATTCAATTTCATTCCGAGCGCGCGGCGAAATAAATTTCGATTTAACGTAAATCGAACTCTCTAACCGGGACGCGGCGTTTCTGTCGCGAGAAACGGATGAAGGTATTTCGTATACAAAGCAAACAAACGTCAATGGAAACGCGGATTAGCGAACGAAATGAAAGAACGTACTTTCGAATAAATTGACCCGTTGTCGGACGAAATCGAGCATCGGCCGCTGTTTATTCTATTTCGATTTCTCCGCGCCAACCCCGGTGAAACACATGGTGCGCACGGATGAGAGGGTGATGCACACAGAACGGCGCGCAAACAACGCGACGCGCGCGTCGTATCCGGCCACGTTTTGATCCGCACTTAAGACGACGACGTAAATATTTGCCGGGTAGCGGCGGATTAAGGACGAGGACAAGGGGCGAAGGGCCCCGTGCTGTGTACGGGACAGAGAAAATATTGTTTCAAAGTCGATACCCGCGCTAGGCGACGCGACACTGAAGATTGTTTCGCTGCTTACGTAAGAAAGTTAAACACAGAAGCGGCGGGTCGAAGAGATAGAAAATACGACGAGAGAACCGGTATAATCCACGATGGAATGTCGACCGAAGAGGCCTGTTCTTCTTCTTACTTTCCCCATTTCTTACTAATCACACAGTTTCCCCAGTGAGTTTCTCGCTTCATCTTTCTCAGCTTCACGCGATTGTGCAATCGCGCGTACAAATACTTACCGTGGTGTATACACTCCCCCCCCCCCGCCCCCCCCTCCCTATCGTATCATAGAATTGCAGCAATTATGTTAATCGATTCGACCTCGCCGGAATGCAGAGTCGGAAATATATTTTTAATGAATGGCGCATCTCATTTCGTAATTATCTTTGCGCGGGCCACCGCGTGAAACGGCGCGAAGCTCTCCGCCGCCATCGGAACGAAATTAGAGCGCGAGTCCGCTATCGTTGATTTATTCCCTCGGCAAGACGCAAAATTTATTATTCGCGCGCGCTCTCTGCCCCGCGATTATTTTTTAATCGCGTGACAGAATCACGGGATAGGGGGAAACCCCGCATCCGTCGCGCTCTCGCGCGAGATTGAAGCCTCGACTGTGAGTCCACTTTTTCCAACCCACCGCGGGAAAGTTGAAAAATCCCTCGGAATATTTTGAAATTTTATGAAAAATTTTGCGTTATATTTCGTTCAGGAATATGAGTAATGTGGGCGATGCGTTTTTCTGACTATCCTCCACTATTTCTGTTTTATGCGTGGAACGTAATCCCTAAACTCAGTTCATTGGACGAAGCGAGCGTTTGCACGAACACGGATGTTTAATTCACGCAACGTAAAGCAGAGTTATTACGGGTGCTTCATAATCCATGAACTTGATTTTTCGTAAGCTACAAAACTTTTAAATAGCGTAAAATTATGAATTACGCTTAATTTTGGTATAGGAATAACGAGATGTTAATTAAAATATGAAATATAAGAAATGCAGAAGCGAAACTGAATTTTACATGATTCGTAACAAAGTTTAAAAAAATCTCACATGCTGTCAGTCCGAATTAACTACCTGGATTTTATCTTATATTATAATATTAAATTGACGAGATGCAATATAAATTTTGCTACACAATTTTATCTAGGGGGATAATAACCGTTTAACAAAATAGTTTCACTTTAGCGAAAATCGAGAAAGGTAAAGCAAGAAAAATAATGTATTTCACGTTTTTTTTTCTTGGTCACCTCGGAGCTATTCGACAAGTATTTGCTCGGATAACAAAGGGAAAACAATTCTCATGCGAATGTTTTCGAGATCGTACACTGATCGATTGTTATAAAATTGGTTCACACGTTCACCCACGCGTTCCATTCGGTTTGTTTTGTAATCAAAATCAATAGTAAAAAAAAGTTTGCTTTCCGTCATTAATACGCGTTATTTACTCGTCACTGCTATCAAACGATGGATAGACCACTGTTTACAAAATGTTAATTGGCGAATAACTTATTTACGAAAAAGGTGGCTTTATCGTGTTTTCATCCATCCTTACGTACGCTTGCAAACTTCTGTGATTGTACGGATAGAAAGAGATAAATTTAGGCGATCGTATCGACGCAGCGGGACAGAGCGGTTAACCAGCCACTCGACGTATCGAGCGTTCATTAAGGCATCGATTCGCCTTAATTACAAGCGCAAATTCGCGGACTCCGCGCGGCTCTGATTTAAATTATTCCACGCTTAACGACGCTTTTACCACGGGTTCGTACTCGCGATAACGATAATTTTCGTTCCACCATCGCAATGAGACACACTTGTGCATGGCCGTACAGAGGTACACATGTGTGAGAGAGAACCTTATTTTATGGTCACTTTAAGGAGCTGTACGAGCCGTGGTCGAGCTTGCAAATTACATTGAGTGCGCGTCCCGACGGTGTAAATCGAATCGGAAGTCCTCGGGCGCGCGGTTTTCCACGGAGATGCACGTCTGATTATTCAGAGGCGTTTACTACTTGAACAAGTTTCGAAGTTAAAATGAATCGATATTTGTGGTTTTAAATCGAACATTATAATTTTAAATATCATAAATATTTCTTACCATCAATTTTTTATATAATTTCGTGTTCTAGTTTAAAGGATAAAATTAAATCTGAATAAAATGTTAGATTATTGGTTAAATGTTAGATTAACATGTTTAAAGAGTAACCTTTTTACTATTAAGATAAATGGTACTAACTGTAAAAGTAAAGTAACCGAATCCTGTATGTCTCTTTAATAAGCTTTGAGATTTTTTCTAATTTTTTTGGCGAATTCAGAAACGAAGATTAGTGGTTATATTCAAAAGAAGGAACATTTCTAAATAAAAAATGAGACATATTCAAATATTCATATGGGTAAAGATTTAAAAGGAAGTAGTGTTTTGCGCACATTGGGTACACAATGTGACCTAAGTATATTCCTTTCTTTTGTAAAAAAAAATATTAGAAAAAATGGAAAATAAAATAATCTATTGTTGCTTTCACATATAAGATTATAAGTTCACTAATAGATTAACATAGAAGAATACACAGAGAACTATTTTCCAAACAATGGACTCAGTTACTTTTTTACTTATCTGTTTATTTACTCGCGATGTTTAACAAGTGAATTAAAATCTATAATCTGAAATAGCAAAAAGTACATTACAATCGATGTGTGTACACTCAGTATGCTTAGGTTGACCACATTAGTTCAACAAAGAGTTTCTCTCTTTCATTATATTGTACATTGTGACAAAAATATAAACTAAATATATGCTGTTGTAAAAAGTATTGAATATATAGGGCTTTGCGACAACATGAATTACTGAAATTAATAATCATTTTCCTTTTAGTTTAGAGAACAATTATTTATCTATGAAATATTACATCACTATCATTTCACAACAATCTATATTTTGCTTTACTGACGATAACAGAATGAACAAATTGGGCAATAAACTGATGCAACTGAATCAGGCGAACAATCTGTATGATCTGTTAGTATTATCTGTTGAATTAATTAGCTACGAACAACAAATAGGATGTTTTGAGTACACACCTATAATATCGGGTTCAATTACTTTAATTAATTACTAGATAGAAAATTAGAATTTTCTCTTTTCTATATTTCTAAAGAAATTACAAATGCGCGTATTTTTCGAGAAAAAAAAATATTTTTTTTAATAAAAAAAATTGATAGATGAAGTAATACATTAAAAATTATATTATCTATATGCACATCATTCATACACTTAAGAAGTTTTATCACGCGAGATAAAGTTTTTTAATCACTGACGTATGCGTTTTTGATACATTAGATAAAGAAGACAGTCAAGATATGATATAAACAACGCAGAGAAAAATAGAAAAGCGTGAGATCTTATTTATTACTTGCGCACTTTCTTACTATTACGTTGCGAAAATTTATCTGACACGTATATGATACATTGAATAATTCAGTGAAACTCTGTCGTAATGACGGTTCGACCCTCCAAAAAAAAAAGATGAAAGTCACTTCTTTACTGTTAAAAAAATAAGTCTCTCCCTCGAGAAGGGTAACGAGGAATTGATTGAGAATTTCGACTACGGTTATTAGCACTGACCCTCTAGGTCGGGTGATACGCTTTTAATATACAGGGGTTGAACGTTGGCGCCATCGATGACAGTATGGGTAGGTAAGCAAACGATCGCGTCGATAAAGAAAAAGAGAATAAACGTGACGAGTGTTGGTTGGCGAGGTGGACGGGCGGAAAATGGGGATCCCGATGAACGTTATCATAATGTTGTTACAGACTTCCGTCGATGGGAACACGACCACCAGCGTTTTATCTTTCATGGCGACGAAAGCAGACGCAGGCAGACACTTGTCGTGTCAAGCTGAAAATCGAATCATGGGAACCGCGCCGATAGAGGACGGCTGGGTACTCCAGATACAATGTAAGCTCATAAACGACGACAGCCCCGAATCCGGCTCTGTTCCCCGGGGCGCGCTCGCGACGCTCTTTCCTTATTTATTCAGACGCCGGGGATTTCGGTCGATTTTGACGATTTATTGAAGATCGTGATTCGCAGACACACCAGAAACGCAGATCCAGCTCGGCACGTCGCTGAATCCTAACACCATACGCGAGGGCACGGACGTTTACTTCGACTGTCTCATACAGGCGGAGCCATCGGTATACAAAGTAGAATGGCGGCATCAGGTGAGCGAAAACACAATTTTATAATGAATTAAATGAATTTTGTTGGACGCGCACTAGTGCATATTAAAGCCGATGTACACTAACTTAATCTAGGTAAAAGTGAAATGCAAATATTTTGAAATATAAAATATGTATTTTACCAACAAAACACAATACAATTTATTGAGGATTTTACGGTTTTATCAATATTTGTATCAAACGCACATCTTTACCGCAATTTATGTACGACGACTTTAATATGTATCAATTGTAAGTGCGTCCAATCAAATTTACTATTACTCAGGCTGAAGCTATAAATGTTGTTTTGGTTTCCAATTATTTGATACTTTGGAGTATTCTCTCCTTACTTCAGGTAGTTTGATGTATACAGATACTCAATAGTGTATCAAATTATTATTAAACTTAATTATTTCAAAACGAAATATGAGAAACCATTTTAGAAAATCTCCGACTGTTGAATAATAAAAACAAGTTGACTTATAAATTTTCAAGAAATAAATTTTCTAGAGGAATCGGAGACGCAAAACTTGAAATTACAATAATTTATTCAGCGAGATTTATTTAAAAGTTTTATCCTTAATGAATCAACTTTACGTTAACCAATTAGCGTACGTACAGCATCCACGCGCGAAGTAGAATTTATCATAATTATACCGGGGTTTCTCAGTATATAGAAAAATATTTCCCAGAGAAGATTCTCTGAAAAAAAATCAGGATATATTCGTGAATCATTTTCCAGAGGTGTAATCTCTGCAAATACTCTCTCATTCCACTTTGCTGTGAATTATCATTAAGCTATCTCGAAGATGCCTAACAATATTCATCGCCAGTAATTCATCCGTATCTCTCGCTCTCAGAAAGTTCTAAAACCCGAGTGTCATAAATAGATTGGTCTCTCGCCAACTAACAAGCTCGATTATGTCTGTATTCGCTCGTATGCTACGCAAGAGAGCGTCGATTTATGTTAAGAACGTATATAAATTTCGACGCTCGAAACATCAAACTTTTATAATAACTTCCCGTCACCTCTATTGCGATGATCATTTTTATCTTCCCACTCTTGCGAACGAATCTTCCCCCTTGACGAACGAGAGATTGTATCGTTGCAATTCACTCACGTATAATACACACACACACACACACACACACAGCACAGAAAATAAATCTTGCCTTCAAACATAGCCCGGAGATTTAATGTAACGGTGAGAAACGCCAATTATCGTGTTTCTTTCAGGGCAAGGCACTCCATCACAACATCACGCAGGGTATCATAATCAGTAACCAGAGCCTAGTACTGCAGGGAGTTGATCGCAAAAGCGCTGGCAATTACACGTGCGTGGGATATAATACTGAGGGTGACGGCGAAAGTTCGCCCTTTTATCTGAACGTGATGTGTATGTATTCTTACATTTACTGCGTTAATAGTAAAATACTGAATATGACAGATGTTTGATACAACGAAGGAGGATTTATTCGTATTTATCAAAACGTAAAAATTAAATCTAGAATTTTCTGAAAGCCTGATTTCTTATTTAATACAACGTGGTAAACAAAAGTATGAGAGCCAAATTGAATTTAATCTAAATAATGTTTATATGATGATTGTCAGTAATACAAATAACACACATTTATTATTTTATAGCTGCGTGTTTTTACAACTTTGTATTTAATCCTTATAAGTATAAAAAATAGGCTTATTTTTTATGTACAAATATTTATTATTTATTATTTAGTATCTTTTTTTAATCAACTGTGCTGTAATGATTTGCAGTTAACATGAAATAAAAAAAAAACGTTAATCAAAAATATTTCAGTATGCAAAGTGATTTATTTTAATCTTAACGGGTAAATATTTCGAAAATATTTTTTATCAAAAAACGCGCTAAATAAATATAATGAAACATATATAGATGTTAATACTTCATCGATTTTAATCTATTATTCGGATTATTATTACAATCCTAAGTACATGACTAAATCCTCTTGATGTAGCTAACATAAGTATAATAATAATTTGAATTATTTATTATATTTCAACGTATACTGAAATATAATTGTTAAATGCTTATCGATTTTATTCGGATTATTACAATACTAAATAATGAGTCTTCTCGATGCAGCTAAATTTATAATTCGGATTATTTATTGCACTAAGAATGCTAATGATAACGAGACGATGGTACGAAGCTTCTCAACGAAAACGTATTCGATCGACTTCAATTAATAATTGATTACGATAAGTAAAGATTCGGTACTCGCGTGAATTTCCACTGTAAAATTTTAATTCCTGGCTTATATACGTACATCTATACGTCCCTCGCGAATTGCGTGTACAATATTATCAGGATACCCAGCTGTTTATTCGTTTGCGTGCAGATTATCGGATGCGATATCGAAATATTTTGCAATAGTTTTGTTAATCAATATTTGAGTTTATTTGAAAGCTCCGAGTCAGATGGTTATGAAACGCAAAGCGTATTACTGTGAAGCTCGCATATATTTAATATAGAAATTTATAGTTAAAAATGACAATAAGCGCATTATTAACACTTTATCCAACAATATATAATATAGAAAAGAAGATAATAAAAGGATAAAGCTGATTTGGAGAATGTCTAATTTAATTAATAATAAAATTACTTAATACCGAAATTTAAACTGTCTGACCAATTATTTAAAAAAGTAATATTGAAGTGGAATTTTAAATCCTGATTTTACTTTAGCTCTGTTATTATTATTGCAAAAATTATTTAGCACATTGGAATTAAAATATGCAAATTAAACTTTATTCATTTAAATAGACGACAGGAACTTCTCACGTCCAGAAAAATTACAGAAATGCTTTAAAAATATAATTTGTGACTGAATTATCAAGATAGTAAGAGTTAAAAAATTTCGAAATAATATGTACTTTTAATAAGAAATGTTAAGCCAGATTTCTTAAGAAATCTTTCCAATAGAAACTAAGATAACAATCTCTTGATAATTATGCATCCTATTTATTAATCAAACAGTTTCCCTTATTAGATCTTTGCGAGAAACTTAAAATAGATCGCGAATCTGTCGATGATCATCAATCATTCCCAGCAAATTTACCCATGCAAACGGTAGCATAAAAAATTCACAAGCCGTATAAGTCTAAGATATCCTTTGCGCCCCAATTATTTATCGGTGACGCATAATGTTTGTTCTCATAGTTGCCCCTACGTGCAAGCCGAACCAGACGAAGGTCCATGGTGTAGCAAAACAGGAGAAGGCGAATATATCCTGCCAAGTGGATGCAAATCCGCCGGAAGTGCAATTTAAGTGGACCTTCAATAACTCCGCCGAGAGTATCGACGTTGCGGCCGGCCATATCGCGCGAGCTGGCACATCCTCTATCGTCTCATACACACCAATGACGGAATTAGATTACGGCACGTTACTCTGCTGGGCCAGCAATCACATCGGGCAACAACAAGTGCCCTGTGTATATCACATTATACCGGCGGGTAAGGGATCTCTGCATTCATATCATATTTCGCGAAAATACGAAGCGACGTATCTGCCGATACGCAGCGTGAATTTTCGATTTAGACTAGAAGATTGATCGCCACGACGAGTTTGCGTGATGTGGTGTAACAAAATTATGCAAACTACAAACAATTTTTTTTGTCAAATCGATAGGTAATATTTCTCGTACAAACTCAATTCAATCCTTCTTTAATTTATGATTGCCCCTCTTGGCGAGAGCGAAAATGAATAGACAGGAAATGGAAAGAAATTGCTTTTTAGCACGTTAGAAAGAAAAAATATAATAGGAACCAGTGGATGACAACTTTAAAATTTTTTCTACATTTCCGCATATTAAAAATTTATACTTACACAAAATAAAATTTCTGTCTTACGTTTAATTAACCTATAATTTCGTAAATTAGTGAAACTGTAACAATAAAGTTAATAGTTTTAATCCAAGGGATTTAAATCTTTCAGGAACTATTATGGTAATTTAAAATTTGGATTTTATTCCTGATTCCTAAAGTCTCACATTTGCGTAATTGAATTCAAATCTTACAATTAGTATAAAATTGGAAAGGCGCAGTATGTATGAGTTGTTTTAATAAAATCATCCAATTACGTGAAACTTCGAAGGCTTCTAGTTATAATTAGTTCCAATTAGTATTGTTATAATGGCGACGTGAATCAGATAACGTAATAATGAAGTCACGATTTATCTCTGAATATCAAAAATCTTTGAAATGTAGATAAAACTTAAAGAACATTATTACACTGTATATTTCTCTCTCTTTACTTCACAGTATGATAGCACAAAAGATATCTGTTTCTTTCAAATATCAAACAAATCATTACAATAAATGAACTTGATACTGTTGCTTTTTATATTCCAATTTGACTTAAAAAAAATCTAATGTAAGCCCAACGGATTCATTCATAGCATTGGCATCTCCGTTATTCGCGTTTCCGCCACGTATCGGTGCTCGAGTTACCAATTAATTGTGATTCGCGGATCGTACTATCGAATTGCGTTACAAAGAAAATGCGCGTACGCGTATACAAGGATTCCAGAGATAGAGGAAAACAGCTCTCGTACCGCGCGCCGTGAAAAAAAAAACGAATCCAACGCTGGGCGAGTAAAAAGGGGACACCGCGAGAGACGGTAGCAGGTGTCTGATGCGCGCTATGATTTTTCAGCAACCATAAACGTGAAAACAACTCGGGCATATTCCCGCGCTTATTTCCTTTTCTTTATTCCCCTTTCTTTTTCCTGTCCCTTCACGACGCAATATGCCGTTATCGTTTCGTTCGCGCCCTTTTAACCGGCTTTTACGAGCCGCGAAGTGTACCATCGGCTAATGCCTTTACAGAAAAAAGCCAGACAACCGTATATCTTTACAGCCGACTCGGTTACAAGTGGCTTGTATGCACCAGCGCACCGTGCGCCGGATTTACAGGGCAACTATCACGCCCTGATTCGCGAATCTACCGCACGCGAAACGATATGTTGCACCACGTTTCCCCTTTTGCGCCGTCTGTATGAAACTATACATCATTTCGGCACGAGAAAAGAATGCATTGAAAGTTTGAGTAAACTGTAGAAACTGCTGACGCTGAAGAGTTACCGCTGTACTTATGTAATTAGTTTCGCTTAAAATTCAGCGCACTTTAATATAGCGTAAAAAGTAGAAATAAACAAACTTTGGAAAACTACGGAGAAGTTATTACGCAATTTTTTTAACGTTCGTATACTCTTTTTTTATTCATATTTTTCATTTGTAATTTTTCGATTCCGAATGTATCTATATGGGGCTTTAGAGTTTCACGATTTGGGAGAGAGAAAAAAGTTAACCTATTTTTCTAAACTATAGAAAAATGTAGCTTTTACATTGAACATTAACTATTTTTAATAAAAGGCGACAAGCCAATTTTTTGCAAAATACATATAGAATTGAAAGGTGAATAGAAAAAATTGTCTTACATTTTTTATTTAATTTGAATGCAAAATTGTTAACAATCGGAAGAGATTTTTCCCGTTGTTGGTACAAAATGAAAATATTTCAATATTACATTGGTAATTCATTTATTTCTACAATTCGCTTGGCCAATACCGAATGGAGACAAGCAAATATTTTAATCTGTACCTGTCAAAACTTCGAACAATATTGTTTTAACGGTTATTTAAAATATTGAAAGAGATTCCGATAGTTATTTTCGAAAAAATTGATATATAAAGCATCGATATCATCAATATTTCAAATTTTTATTGCTACATATAATTCGATTTCATACCTTTTTAGCTTCGATGATAGTTTTTCATCATTCTAGTTTCTCTCTTGTTATTCGTCTTATCTAATAATCCAGACGCGTAAAATTTCATCGATTATCGAAAAGGCGCACTTGGAGAACTTGAAAGAAAAAATTACCGCGCGATATTATCGTACCTTAGTGGCTATTACGAGCTGTTACGAGCGCGTGAATAGTCTCTCGTGCATGCGGCGCATTTTAAAACGCAGGCAAACCTTATCCGTGACAGGCCGACCAGACATGGTTCACAATTGCACGACCTCGAACACGTCGACCAACTCGTTTTCCGTGCGGTGCACGGAGGGTTTCAACGGCGGCCTGCCGCAATCCTTTCTGCTGGAGGTGCGCGAGAGCAACAGCCAGGAGTTGCGTGCCAATCTGACGTCGCCGGTGCCGCGCTTCAGCGTCACTCACTTGGAGTCTGGCGCCCTTTATCAGGCCTGCATTTACGCTTACAACGACAAGGGTCGCAGCGAGGCAATGGTTGTGCAGGCCGGCACTTTGAGGCTGCCGGAAAAACAACTGACGTCTGAGTCAGGTGAGAAAATTCCCTTACTTTTTCCGGGAACCGAGACCAACAATCACGCTATTTTTACGCTACGATATTTTCACAAGAATCGAATTACTCGACGAAATGTTTAACGAAAAATATACGCATACAGATGTATTGTGATAGAAGGATATGTTCTGTAGTCTTGTACCTATATTAAAGTAAATTGATACTCCTTCAGTATTTCAAAAATTCTTGTTATACTCGCTGTATCGTTAACAACTCTAAAGCTTTCGATATCTTTTGAACAAGTTTCGATACTCGATTTGCTTGAAAATTGCGAGAAAGTATTGAATCGAGAACCTTCACATCATTTTATATAGTGCATATGTATATGATTTTCAAATTTTGCTTGCGACACAAAATTTTCTTTATCGTGAAAAGTTTCACGATTATACTGTATTAAAAAAAAAAAAATTGGTGCAATTCAAAACACAAAGTTCACATTTCTAATAAATAAAATTATAAAACTCAATTGATTATAAAATTACAATAACCGGCTTTTATTGATATATTCTAAGACCGTTGGCAAAGCTTGTGATTAAACCTAGACTACCATATAATTCCCGAGTTGAGAAATACTTTTCAACTGTCTATATATACGCTGAATCTACGTCCTCTACACTTCTTGCATAACTTCTAACGATGAACTTCGATAAATAAACCTACGAAGGTATCATTCACCTTGATTTTAAATGAAACTTCGCAAATTTGTAGAACTATGAAAAATATTTGACACGTATTTTTTTTTAACGGTGAAGGTCTACTCTGAAGAATGAAAACCATCCCTTAAAGGGTATTAGGTGAAAATTTTAAAAAGTAAAACATGTTAGAGGGTTTTTGGGGTCGCTGAAACTAAATCTTATGTCAAAAGTATGAAATTCCAACCCAATATGGCGTCCAGATACGTAAACATCAGACCGTTTCTATCTACAGTGTATGTATGCGCGCGTTAGTGAAAAAGGAAAACGTTTGTGTGTCCGCCGCGTCTCATGATCGCACGTGGCACGTGGAGAAAACTTTTGAATTTCATACTTTTGACATGAAATTTAATTTCAGCGACCTCAAAAACCCCTTAATACATTTTACTTTTTAAAATTTTCAACTTATTTCGTATATGTTATAAATCTATCCCTTGCCTTTAAGGGGTGGTTTTCTTCAAAGTGGATCTTTACTGTTAAAAAAAAATACGTGTCAAATATTTTTCATAATTCTACAAATTTGCAAAGTTTCATTTAAAATCAAGGTGAGTGACACCTCCGTAGGGTTTATTTATCAAAGTTCGTCGTTAAAAGTTATGCAAGAGGTGTAGAAGACGTACAGCGTATAGACAGAGAGTTGGAAAGTATTTCTCAACTCGGAAAACATATATGCCGGTATTCATAGTCGGTTCTTATTTCAAGACTGTCTTAAGTAATTTCTTAAGATGCTAAAGCGGTCCTCTGATTGGTTCGTAACTCAAGACTGAACTTAAGACGGTCTTGAATATAAGAACTGACTACGAATATCGGCCATAGTCTAGATTTAATCACAAGTTTTTGCCAATGGTCTTAGAATATATCAATAAAAGCAGATTTCGATGTGTTTGATCCATTTTTTTGCTCTAAATTGAAAATTTGCAGGGGATGGTTCTATTTTTATATCAGATTCGTATTCAGCGACTTAAAATATACATAAGAATAGCTAGGTTTCCAACAGAGTACAGGATACTTTTCTTTTGTAGGCCTGTGCAATAATCTTACATGTATAGTTCTCATAAAACTATGAATTATATAATTTTAAAACCGTTAATATAATAAATTATTAAACATAAATAATAAATAAAATAACATTTTTATTTAATAAATGCTACCGCAATCATAGTAAATACTATTTTTTTAAATTCACTTACTATTTGTGTGTAGAAATAATGATTCAAATATAAATAAATTAAAATATAAGGAACAAAAAAAACTAAAAAACGTTCTGAAGATGACTGTGGCTATTATGCTAGCACAATTGACTATTGTACATATACTTGCATGGCTAAAACAATTACAAATATATAGTTGTCCCAAAAAATGGCTATAATTAAATTATGATAATTGTAACCATTTCTTTCTTTTATTGTAGACCATCGAAAACATAAATTAAATGAAATTACCATTTTAATCCTTAAAGATCTCGTTTCTATTAATATCCTCAAAATTTTTTTATACATGTAGTATGTTTCTCGTTATGGTATTTATGCGCGTTCGATGTTATATAACATATACATATTAGTCTGAAAAGGCTACGTGAGATTTAGATAATTACGGAAAAATTCACGTCGATGAGGCAGTACGAGCGAAAAGCCGCTACCAATTGGCCGAATTGATGAAAAGCTATCGACTCAATATTAATTCGTCGGACGAGCCGCGTAAAAAGCTCCCGGCGCTTTTATGACCCAACGCGAAAAATCGGGTCAGGAATTGACGATTTAATACTATCGGACGATTTTCCCGTTGTTTGTCTGATGCGATTGTTATCGTAATTTTTAATTCGTCCACCGGTGTGTGTCCCGGATCGTGCTTTATGTATATCTCTATTAAAATAAAATGCGGTCGGCTGTATTTAGGGCATTACTCGTTGCATTTCGAGATGTGCAAACAAGTCAAGCGTGACCTGTGTTACATACTTTTTATATTTTTATGGAAGCTTGCATCATAAACATTTTGTGCAACATGTTATTGTATCGTGTAATTCGTTGAAAATTCGATGCTACATTTAAAAAGTGCTTAAAAGTATTTTTATTAACATTTAATACATATGATTGTATCATTTGTGCAGTGTATTTTCTTCGTTTTTTCTTCGAAAAACTAATTGTAAAAGCATCAATAATTAATTATAGTATACAATACAACATTTGTATACAATTTTTTTTAAATACCCAAATATTTTTTTACAATTATTTTCTAAAGATGTTAAAGTATGTATAAGAAATATTTAATAATTTTTCTATATTTGTTTAAATGATGAAAATTACTTCGGACTATTATAATACAAATAACCCATTGTAAAGATCTGGAAAATCATCGTATGTACTAATTGTAAGAGTTAAAAAGAATGTCATTTGTGCTTAAAGTACACTGAAAGCTTATAATTATATGATTAATAGAATATTATATTAATTAAATAATTTTGTGTTTGTGTGTATAATATCGATTACTTTTGATTCTCAATTCTTCGATTTGGCACTGCAGAACGACCCAGACAGCACGACAACCTGACACCGATGCTGAGTGTGACGATCGGCGTTGTGATGGCCCTCATTATCGTCGCGGTTATAGTGATGGTCGTCTTACGGATTCAGCACACGCACGTAGAGGAGCAGAACAAGTCGCAGATGGAGGATCACGCCAAGCAGACGAAGGCCGTTCCCATACAAAGGGAACTACGATTTCGAGAGGGATGCAGTTTGCTTACAGACGAGAAGCATCCTAGCAGCCCGTTCAGAAAGCTGGAAACCAGCGGTGATCTCAGCGAAAGCGACGAGAAGAATCCTGACATTATTCCACAGCAGATTACTGGTACGTATCTTCGCAATTCCTGTATTAATTCTGAAATTTGTAAAATTATGAAAATGTACTAAAAATCACATTACAAATTTGAAAAGAATGTGAGAAAATTAATAAAAATCAAAAATACACATACTTATCTTTATCTTTTCAAATATAATTTTTGTTTTCAGAAAAACGCGAATTAAAAAATTCATAATGTTAAATTATTATTCAAATTATTACATTGAAAAAGTATTACATTGAAAAAGTATTATTTAAATATATAATATGTTTTAAAATGTATATAGAAAACATTTTATTCAAAATTATATTAACAAAATTATATTAAGAAACAAATAATATAGAATTTGTTTTTTATATCTAGGAGTTTCTTAAATTAAAAAAATATTTTGACTATCAGAATTGTGACTAAGTATTTCAAAAATATTAAAAATATGTATTTATAACATTTTCTTATATAAATATTAAAAACTTGAAGTCTCCGTTTTTAAATATTTATAGCAATGACTCTCATAGTTCCTTTATGTTTTCGCAAGTATAACATTTCAAAGTACACTTTCTTCAAGATTGAAAGAAAATCTCGTCGGTAGTGCGCTTCCATTCATTTTACGTGGTTGTTTCGAAAATGTTCTCATTCGTGTCTTTACGGTTGTAAAACTCTGTGGCGAAATTTGGTGGTTGTAAAATTGTCGTGAAATGTTTGCGCAGGTGACGAGCCGTCGGAATACTTAAGAAAGAGACGTCTGGTATCAACGATCGAGACGTCACCATCAAGAAGTCTTCTGGAGCACTCAACTGTGACTTCCATCAGCGGACACAGCAGTTACGTCGGATATTGCACGATCCGCAACGGCATGCCACTGCACGAGTTCTCCAATTTGTCAACGAAGCACAAAAGCGTGAGTTCCATTAAAGATTTGATAATGTAAACGTCGTACAAGTATCTTGTGTAGATATTTAACGAAGTAATAAAGTAGCTTACATTGATAACAATCGTGCAACTAAAAGGATATAATTGCATGATTCAGGATTAGATTAAACAATAAATAATATTTTTGATTGATACGTAAAAAATACATTAAGTAAGAAAATGCTTCAATTGGATTTCAGCTGAATAATTTTTGTACTTAATAATATTTTTATATAAATTTATAGATATCCTGTTTAATAAACTGCATATCTCTACTCGTATAAAGCATTTAATTTGCGATATTATTCCATGTTTAAAACCATGTAACAAACATTTTTAGTGTTTTCAATACCAAAAATGTTCGTTCCAATTCAACACCGTAAATGAAATTAGCGTGCAGTTTTTATATAGATATATAGATATAAATTTCCATAACGAAATATTAGTAATTAAAACTGGCTAAAATAAAAAATACGACATTTTCTATTTAATTAAATAATTAAATTGAATACTAATGATACAATGATAACGTTATGCAATTTTCTCTCTAAAACAACTATTATATTGTACATAACTTCGTATGATCATATCAATTTGTCTATATCTTCGGAAATCTATGAAAATCATGAGTGACACGTTTCAGTTTCAGCCGATGGTGGGCGACGTCTATGAGAGTGGTATGTGCACCCTGCCCAGGCAACATTGGCCCAGCCAGAGCGTTCAATCGATGTCGATGACAATGAGTCCTCCGATATTGTACGCCGGCCTCGGCGTCGTCACCAGGACCTGTCCAAGCGGCACGCTGCCGACGAAGGACTGTGAGACACGAGTGCCCGGCCAGTGTTGTCCAACAGTCCAGACGCAGAAGGATACTACGATAAGCACGCCGGTGGTGATGGCCAAGAGGGAGAGTTCTGTGTGACCCTACACCCACCACGGGGCCTGCACCTGCAGCGTGAGCGAGTTGCTGTGAATCACGCTATTGTCAATCGCGAGATAGCCGCGGATCCTGGATGACACGAGCGTCCAGGAAACGTTTGGGAGATGTCTACAGGTCACGCGAAAATTAGAACGTCTTTTAGGGAACAAAACTTCAATTTAAATTCCGAAAGACGTTTGGACAATCGTTATTTACACCTGAAAATTAAGATGTCTCCTTTGAACGATTTGTAGGGGGATGATTCCTTTTACCAAACTGGAATGTCCCTCCAACGTCGCTTGTGTCGTTCGGAACGCTTTGGGCGTGCGAGCCGGTTTGAGTTCGACGAATTTATGTTTTCACTCCATGATAAACGTCACGATTTGCGTCTCTTTGTTGAATCAAGTGCCCTTTTTACACTGAAAAACGACGAACATCCAGACCGGCTGATCTGCCGGCTTCTCTCATCTCGTGTGCGTAGCCTCGTGATCGAGCCCCGGTGGAATTAAGACGGGCACCTCATATAGTAGAGAGTGAGTTTATGAAAATGTGCGTGTACGCGAGCTCACTAGCTTGCCATACTTCTGTACATACCTCGAGACACGGAAGATATTTTGTACGAGTCGCGTATATTAACGATTTATTCCCACTTTTACTATGAACACAACACTGTACAATTTGTCTAGTCGATGTAAGTATAAATATGTATATGCGTTAAAGTCGTCGGGAAGGCGTCAGACCAGAATAACGTACACTGAGGGGGATGATCATCACCGTCGCGTCACGCCGCACGCACGGCATAATTATTTATAACGTTGACAATGCGTAAACGCGAAATAGCGGGACTCTCGCGGGTACGGGAGAGAGAACGGGCGGCGAAGTTGTCAGAGACATATCGTTTGTATCTCCATCCGCGGGAATCGAGTACGAAGAGCGGCGGAGTAATGAGACGAAAGACGAAGAAAGAGGAAAAAATGATGAAGAAAAAAAAAAGAAAAGAATCCCCATCGCGCTTTCGTCTCAGTCTGCAGGATTCTGGATTTCACCGTAATATTAAGTATCTCTTGTACAATGTATAAAATAACGACTTCCTTCGAAGTAAATGTACCGAGTATGATGAACGTTGTTTTTTCAAAGTCTTGAATCTTATTCTATATAGAGAGATGGCCCCCAATTAAAAAAAAGTGTGGTACAGTAATCGCGATAGCACTTCTAACTTACTGCCTGTTTCGACGCTTGTGAATCTCGTTGGTAATTTCATTTGGCAGAGGTTTTCTGACCTCTCTGTATTATATAGCTTTAAAATGGAAAAAAAGAAGAGAAGGTTCGTCGAAGGGCGCCTCGTCATATCCTCCGTACGATACAGGGATATCATCGTTGATTAGAACGGCCCAAGTCGCGAAAAGAATAAGATGAAAATTGACCATATAGCCTTTCCCTTGATATCGAGCAGTTGATTATTGGGCGGTACATTTCAGCTATATTATTACGTGAGACGCGCGTTAGAAGTCTCTCCTTTTCGCGCGAAGTGATAACACCCCGTATTTTGCTTTAATCTGTACATATTGATTTTGCGCGTAAAAGATTTATGCTCCGAGCACGCGACGATCCTGCTGCGACTGCAAGGACTCACGTGAGAGTCAGAATGCCCTTCATACAGCGTGAGAAGAAGAGAAAGATATCTTTCGATGTTCACATATTATATCTAAATAAGATTGTCGTGTATCTAATCGTTCTAGAATTCGATAACGTAATCGTAATTAATCCGATGAAATAATTGTAAATTTGTTCTGACGTTACAGCGCGTTTTACGCTCTCTCTCTCTCTCTCTCTCTCTCTCTGGAACAGCAATATCGATCTAGTTTAGAACAGGAATGCGAGACAGAGCTCCTTCAAACGCTTTCGAGAGTGCGAAAGTTAACTTTTTTCGTTGGGGAGTTACATTGTTCCTTTTATATTTTAATTATTAAGCATTAAATAATTTTCCGTCTCTCTATAAGCGAGTTTTATCTTCGAACGGAGTCACGATTTCTGTCTCTTTTGACGCGGCAATGTCACCAAGAGCCAAAAGTTTCGTTGAAGCAGCACAGTATTTGTCTACCAGATCGGAACTTCGCGCAAATTGACTATAAAGGGAATGTAGGTTGTGACTGTTTGCAGTCGCATCGTCGTTGCAGTCTGTTATACGTGCTTGCAAATGAATATGCAGAGGAAACGGTCCTCACACACGGACGAAGCATCCGCGTTTCCGTTCGCTGTGGGAAACGACAGGTGATTATCGGGGATACTTAGTAAATTATTTGATGTGTAAGAAACGTAGAAAACGGCAAAGTCGAAGACTTTATGAGCCGTAAAAAGCTATCACGAGAATTTCTAGGGCGAACACGTTATTTTCTCGATCGCTTAGATATTACGTTAACGCGTCGCTCCCGTGAAGATCTATTAACATTTTTAAAAAATGAGATGAATCGTTGATTATTATTATTACTGCCATTAATGGAATTGATGTCGGAACATTGTGAGTGTATGTTGTCAAAGAGAATTTTTAGTAATCGTTGATACGCAACTGATACGCGCGTTCCTCCACTTCCTCCCCCTCCCCTTGTTATAACTTTTGCACATACATAGAGAGTGTAGCCGTATACAATATAAAAGAACGTTGTAACAAAGAGATTTTGCGATCCAACGACGGGAAAATGTCACAGGAACAAAAAAACGTACAATAAAACCTGGATCCAAACTGCCAAAGTTTTCTATACGTTCGTACATATATGATATCACTATATATGCGCACTATAATGAGAAAAGGTGTGAACTTTTTAATAAATAATAATAGATTTTTTTTCTAACGGAAGACACGATTGTCTGAGAAAATATATTTATTAATTTCATTTTATCAACACGTTTAATTAAATTCAAGGAAAACATCAAGAGGAAAAAAAAGAAAGAAGATAAATCATCATTTTTCCGCATCTTGCTTGCGACAGTTGGTTTCCAGGGCACATTTTTACTTTTCACTGTTCCGGTAATCCGGAACCTTCGAGCCATCGAACGCGTCCCGAGGCATAATATCGCAAGGCGGTGGCCAGATATTATTGTCTGCAAAACGATTAAACGATATTTGTCAGCCAGCACTGGAAGATTAATATGAGTGTCAATGTTCAATCGCGTATGAATCGTGCAATTAATCCTCAGTGAAAACATGATGTCGACGCGTCAATCGTACTCGTTTCAGTGTAACTTAGGTGTCGATTGAAGAACAAGACATGTCAAGGGGACATCGTTTTTCTTTGTTAATTTTTAATTAAGTAAGAATGCAATTGCTGCACTGTTCCGTATGCGTCACTGCCTGTATATCGTAATAATGAGACCGGATCTGACCAGCCGCCGCTTGTGCGAGACAACATTGAAGTTTGTATATGTACTTAGTTTAGGACTATCTCCGACATACACACGCAGCACACACACACACACATACACACACACACACACACACACACACACACACGAGTCTCATGTACCCCAGAACGTTTTTTTGATATTGTAAATATTCTGAAATAAATAATCGTTTTTATTCACGCGACATGCGTGATTATTTTGTGTCCCTCGTCAGCGACGATCTTCGCGCAAAATCAACGATGATTTGATCAATTTTTTATCAACATCACAAAAACTCGTTTGTTGTCAAATTCACAGGTATAAACCTAGCTAAAATCTGTTGAAAACAGATTTTATAAAGTATCTGTTACAAAATTCTACAATAGAATGCCACAACAAAAATATAACAAAATATAATAATAGATTGATTGATAGAAATCATATAAAATTTTGAGATATCATTTATCATTTCAATCGTTATATTATTATTCTATTTCATTAGATGTTCTATTTAAATTACACGAAATAACAGATTCTGCTCGAATTTCTGCTGGCAATCTGTTGTAAGATTATGTCGGTACTACTGACAGAATACAAGATAAAATCGATGCCAATCCAGCACAATAATCTTTTGAAATCTGCTGGCATACAGTTAACATTTTGCTTACTCGGTGTACGTGTAATTCTTACCATCCCAGAATGCACTCGGCGATGCATCGGAATACATTTGCAAATACTCCTCGATGGTTTTGAGCACGGGCGAATTCACGTTCAAGAGAAACTCGAGAACTGTGCTCTCGGGGAGATATCGGGCCGCTTTGTCTCCCAAGTTTCGTAGCACGTCTTGAGCGTCGATCGACTGTAAAATCGAATGAAACTAGCGTCACGAGATAAAATAGAGGAAATCCTTAGCTTTATATATTTAGTATCTCGAATTCAAAATCCTTCTTTCTCCCCTTTTCCAACAATTCTTTGAAGCCTCATCAAATCTCTGTCCACACAAAGTGTTGAACGTTTTATATCTTCCTTAGATCTCTGTGTAAAATTGCGAACCTTTCCATGCACCGCGTTTGCAATATACTCGCATAACGTGTACACCTTTATTAGACAGTTTGAGACTTGCTTTAGAATTTCGTCCAATGCATAAGCTTCTAACGTCCCTATTAAAGTCAGCGGTATCATGTAGACGTGGCACCATCCTGAGAAGAATCTCTGCAAGTGCAATATATGTATGCGCAATCTCTTTTTTATATATATCCACATGCACCACATATCAGGCCACCGACTTGATGAACGTGATGATACGAAGGCAAAAGAATTGCTTTTCCGAATTTGCATTCATCATCGTTCATGGCGTACATAAGCTCGTAGTGCTTATAAATGATATCTTCCCACGCCTGTCAAGAGAATAAATCTCTGCCTTATTTCCATTTCTCTCTTCGAAAAAAACAAATAACGACGAGTGGATGGATCACAAATGAGAATCGCAATCATCAAAGAAAAATTTTACGATTCCGAGGTTTGCAATTTAAATAAGCAATAATTTACTTTAACATTTTCTTCTTTGTGATGTTATATTTTTGTTGCATAATATGGAGATAAAAATATTGAAATACCTCTAATATGTGAATGTAATATGATGGGTAAACAAGAAATAGTCCTGTAATAGGCATGTTATTGTAATCCATGTGTAAATCCTGTATAATATTTTCCATTTTCTATATGAATTATTTAAATATGAATTATTTAAAAAGTACAGCTTTTTAATTATGATTCGTGTAATTATATATATAATTTGAATTAATATTATTCATAAATATAAAAATATTATTTTTGCACAACAGGAACATAAATCTTTAACGTTTACTTATTATTTTCGTTGCATGTTACTGTTAACATAATGTTACTAATTATATCTGCTGTAATTGTTCAAAATACAATAGTTTGTTCCAAAAGATTATTGCAGTCATGATATAATCTATAGTAGACTATACAAAACTCTACGATACGATTTACATATATAATTCTGGCACTTACTTTTCGTAAAATTTCATGAGTTCCGCGATATTTCCCGATGTAAATGACTCGCGTAACATATGTTTTCTAAAAAGAATATATACCACGTTATTTCAAAAAAGAACTATATAAACTTTACTAGATTATTATAGTATCACACATTTCTGTTTAAACTTTAACATCACAAATCATTTATAAACAACATTGCAACAACACATAAAATAATCAAATAGTATTAGGTCAGTGCAAAAGTACGTGCCCCCGATTTATCATTCAAAATTAATAATAAATTTATTATTAATTTTAAATGATAAATTTAATATTTATCAGATCTAATACAACTTACGTAACCAATGGCACGAAGATTGTATTGTATCACATCTAAAACACTTTTTCTCACTGGTTCGGCTAAAGATGCTATTGGAAGTTTCTCGACATGTTTTTTCTTACTAGCCATTGATGCGTATTATGTTCTGTTATTAACTTCGTAAATTTGACTTTCATACAAAAGCAGAAATCTGCATATATTTTTAATCTAAATTCAGCATGCGTTATAAGACAATGTAATAACGGCGATAATGAAAAGAGCGATCTGAACATTCAAAGAATTTCTTTTCAACGAGAATGTTTACTTTGAAGCTATCTTCGTTTGCTGCATGTTTTATATACACAGTGAATGAAATAGCAAATACATACACTCATGAATACTTAAACAGGCCTACATAAATCTGCGCCGAGCTGCTCCCCAGCTCGTGGATAAATAAGAACGGATTAAAAGATAAAAGTACAAAAGATAAATTGGTAATATTTTCAAATCAGATCTCTAAAAATATATTTATCAGAAATTTTTACACTTATAATAATAGGTTGCTTTCGCAAACCAGAGATCCATGAAATCTAATTATGTAGAATCAAAATTTAAATCTAAATACGTAGTATCAAAGGATCGCTATGAAAAATTAATTGTGACAAGATTATGCAATAAACGATTTCGCATTTTAATTCCGCACAAAAGTATATTAGTTTATCAGAGATGTGCGATTCAGTGCAAATTTGAATCGAATCAAATCATATAGCGCGTTTCACTGGCAGAGCTAGTGCGCACTCAGTGTACTTTAATGCCTTCGTACACAAATCAACATAGAAATATATGTTTAAAAAAAATAAAAAAATGATTAAAACCATAAAATCTTCAATATATTTTATTGTGTTATTTGACAAAATACACAATAAGCATTTTATCATTTGAGATATCTTACTTTAATATCAGATTAGAGTAGTGTATAACGACTTTAATGTGCACTGAGTGCGCACTAGCTCTGCCAGTGAAACGCGCTATATGATTTGATTCGATTCAAATTTGCACTGAATCGCTAATAGTGAATTCGATTTGCTTCGTTTTCGAATTTGAGAAATTCAAAACCGAATAAGTTCGAAATTTCGAATCATCAATAATTCGATTTTATTTGCTTCATTTTAATGTAAATCTGAGAAAATTGAAATCGAATTCGATTCGTTTCCGAATCAAAAAGATTCGATTCGACGCAAAAATTTCAAATTTGATTTGATTTCGAAAATATCAAAGATTCAATTCAATTCGACTTCACAAATGTTTGATTTGCATACCTATACGCGTTATCACAATCGAGTTAAAATCAATCATTATTTCTATTATCGCGCTTATTCTAAACATTATCTTTACTAAATCACATTGTTAAATTAAGAATAATTCTAATTATTTTTTTGCTATAATCGGCAACAATGGCGGTGTCGGCTCGCTAGGATTACCTAGCCACACGGATTTACTAAAGCGTCCCTTTATAACGGGCGCTTGCCACTTGTTACTGCACACGACGGTAGCCGTCGGTTTCTCCGCCGTGACCGTGGCCACACTTACAGTCCTGAAAGTAATAAGAATTATTTAAGAGTATACGAGTGAAAAGATCGCGTATTGATAATGCGAACTAAGTCTCTAGTTTAACAAACTGAAATAAAATTGTTTACAGAACATCACGAAACAAAGTAATAAAACAAGAATGTATTTATTACACGCATTCCTTAGGAAAGAAATAACTACTGTGGTGAAGAATTTTTACACGAAACTTTAATAGAACAAGAGAGGAGAAAATGAAAAGGTATTTATAATGCACAAACAGCATTTATTAATAAAAAACTTGTTACAAATTTCTTTTTAAGCGCCGTTTATTTTTTAATAATAAATTTACGAAAAAATTTTTCAAAATTTGAGTATATATTAAAGGTTATTCCCCGAAATCTACTATAATGATACATACTGATCCTATTCATATCCTCCACCCATATTCTCACAAATTATTTATACACTTTATATCAGAGTCTTCCAACTCTCGCACTGCGGACACGAAATTCATGCACACGGTACGTGAGTTGAAAAAGCTCTACTTTTTGTGTATAAAATGCTTTATGTGACCAACATTTTGCAACATTAAAAAATTTTAATATACAATGTGAGATAATTAAGATGAATTTGTCAAAAGAGTAATTTTTAATAAAACGTAAAATTATAAAAAGATGTAAAATGGTATAACAGTAGCAGTGTAATAATTATCACATTGTAAATGTGTAACTATTTCAGAGAACAAAACCCAACATTAAAGACGTAATAATAATAATATAATATATAAATTATAAACACACAAAATAAAACAATACGGATGGATGGAGAACATAGGTAAATCACAATTTTCATGATAACAATTATACACTTTATGTTTTCTATCTGGCAAAAATGGTGCGTAAATAAACACAAAATAATTCACGATTGTCTATTCTATAAATTGATTAGGTCTTCTAATGCCAAGGTACTTGACTTGGATGACTGATGGTACCCAGTTTGTAGTACCTGGTGGTAGATGGCATCTGTTGAGCTGGTGTAGACGAACTCGGCGGAGTCGCTACGACCGGAGTTTCAGCACCTTGAGCTGGAACGCCATCTCCTTTGAGAACAGAGATGCATTTCCAATGGTTAATGAAATTGTCCTTCCACAATCGAACGCAACCATCATCACCGGAACTTGCTAAAATCGTTCCCATACAGTTCCAGCTAACACGCCAGACGGTACAGTAATGATCATCGAACTGTGCGACTACATTTGTTTCAAAATGTGATACACCAGTCTGTGTACTCTCGCTGAAAAAAATAACATACATTTGCTTTCCAACTTGGCCATTATTTTTTAATGCAACTTTAAACGATTTTACACTTACTCAGTCGGTTTTAAAGTGACTATCCGTACATCTTTTGTAGCTATGGCCAATGTGTGGAAATTTCTGCCTAGATTAGGAGCAAACGCAATGTCGTAAACGGCATCCGTAATGCTTGACAATGTCTCGGCCTTCACCCAACGCCTACTGTTCTCAGAATATTCGTAAATAAAGATTTTTGCTCCAAGTGTAGGATTTGGATCGTCACTACCAACTGCTATCATAGGTGGATGTAGTCTAAAGTATATTTTTATAAAATATTAATTAATCACATTAAAATATTTGATTTAATTTTATCTTATACATTAGATCTTATTATTACATAAGACATTATTATAACAATACTTTTATTATGATGTAATAAATTGTATTTTTTATATCAGTAACAAAAATTTAAAAAAATTAAAAAAAGATAAGAACACACTTACCTGGAGAGAGATGGATTCCATGTAAGACAACTACACGAAAGTTTACAGTTAATATCATGCTGTAACGTCCACTGGCTTAAATTCATGATATCTGGTGCTTCATATATCCGAATGAATCCATCTGCGCTACAAGTAGCCAGAAGAAGGCCTAAAGTCTTTGGTGCAAACTTTACATCTGTGACAGAAGTACGTGAATCAACTAAATTTGTCCTTTTAATCCAATGTTTGCTACCACGAGCTTCTGGCCCAGAACCTTCGCCAACTATCAAGAAAAAGAAGAGACATAGGGAACAACAGAATAATAACGTAAAACTTAGTAATATGAAAGAATAAAATAAAATATTCATCATACCAATTTCCTCCCAGACAGCAGCAGTGCGATCAAATGAACATGTAGCAAGAACTTGGCCAAATTCTGGATGTGCCCAAGTGACTTTCCACACTGATCCACTGTGAGCCTTCCAAGAAGCAGTTAGATGCCAGTTTCCATGCTCGTCTTCATCCCAAACCTGTAATATTTCATTATACACCTATACTATTTTATAAATAAATATATATTGACAGGAACTTTTATAAAAATTCATTCTGAAATATGTATTTAATATCTATATTTAGTGTCACAATTAAGTCACGTATGTAAAACATACTAGAAAGAAACGGAATTACATGTATACAGATCTGTTTTTTATAGTTTAACTAGTGTATAGTTATACACTTTTTGAACTCGAGAGAGTCAGTTCCTGCATTGTTTGAATGCAGAAACAAAAAAACAGAACTTAAAGTGAAATTAATATAAACTAACAAGTGAAAGGTTTATGTAAATCTTTACAATATTAATAATGCTCAAATAACTATTCATAACACGATAGATGTACAATTCATAGTTTGTTGAGATGTAATTTCCAAACAAAGTAAAAGTAAATACAAACATTATGAATTGTGTCTGTCGTGTTATGAATATATAATTAATACACATCTATATGTTCACATGGGCATTTTGCTCGTGTATCAGATGTATTTTTAGAGTCCATAAATATTACTATATTTTATTATAATTCAACTTCAAATAAATATATAATTTGATATTTGGCGAAAGCGAGAAAAAAAAAATCAACAGTGCAATTTAATGCAGAAATAAAAACAGACCTTATCTCTTCGTTTACTCATTACTGTACCTTTACAAATTGATCACTGGAGCACGTCGCCATTCGTTCCCCATAGTAATCGTAGGCGATATCGTGTATGAGATCCTTGTGCTCTGCATTGATACTGTGCGCCTCGTACATTGCGAATGAAATAAATGTCAATGATACAGTTACGTGTAGATTGTTTACTAAACGCGCCACGCGTTGAAGGTTATGATACAGCGTGCTCCGTGTCGATCTCGATGTCGGCACACTTCTAGCCTTCTACCCTTCTAGGGACTCTAAAGATATGTAGATGGCAGCGCTGTCTATACTGTTTCAAACTTCCTTCATTCAAATATTACATTAAAGCTCAATTTAATGAAAATTATGCTGAGATTTAATTGCTAATTATGCTATATAGAGCATTAATAAATCAAAGAACATAAATTCAAAAACTATAAATTAAAGAGTCTAATGAGAATATTATATTATATTTTGTTTCTTCTCTATCCTGCAAAAAAACTAATATAAAACAGATATAAAATTAATAAATAAATACTTTATCACGTAAACTATTTTATATATATTAAAATTTGTTTTAAATATTCCTACTTACAGGGTGTCCCATAAGAAGTTGCTAAAATTATAATTAACTGTCTCTATTTCTATATATGTATTAGGGT